GTGTGTGTGTGTGTGTGTGTGTGTGTGTGTGTGTGTGTGTGTGTGTGAAGTTGGAAAAAAAATTTTTTTAATTTTATTGTGAACTTTAAGACAAAAAAACATTATTTCTATACATAGAACATAAAGAGGTTATTAAATCACAAACCTACATTTGACACCATTTGTTTTTTCAATTACATAATAAATTCGACATATTACATTCAAAACTATCCTGCTTGTCTGTTTTGATTCCTTCTGTTCTTTTCTGCTTATTTTTAAAACATGTTACAATGGTTTTTTAGGGGTGGGTGGGGAGGGGGTTTCACTACTGTAATCCAACCACCTCTAATTAACTGAAAGAAAAAAAAACATCTTGTAACAAATAAGATATCTCTGCATCTTGTGGCCATCACCTTTCCATCGGGAGGTAGGTAACATGCCTCACTAGAGGTTCTCTGGAGACATGGTAGGTCATTGCTTTGATTAGATTTCTTAAGTCTCTCAAAGTTATTTTTCTTTACCATGTTGTTTTCCTTGTATAAACTGTTCTCTTGGATCTGCTCATTTTAATGTGTTCATACTACCCAGTATTCTCTGTCATTATTTGATGATGGAGAACTTGGAGTCAGGAAGAACTGAATTCAAATCCAGACTTAGATATGTTTTGGCTGTGTGACCCAAGGCAAGTCACTCAACCTTCTTACCTTTAATGTCCTCATCTGTAAAAGAGGGATAATAGTAGCACCTACCTTTCATGGTTGCTGTGAGGATCTAATGAGATAAAATATGTAAAGTGTTTTGCAAACCTTAAAGAATTATATAAATGCTAATCATTATTGTTATTTTCTATGGTATTAACAATATTCTATTCCATTTACATATCACAAAGTACAAAACCATTCCTCAACTAAGAGATTATTTAAGGAACCCCTTTAAATTCTAGTTCTCTCTTTTTCTTTTGTTTTCCTTTTTATCTCCCCTCCTCCTTACCCCAACTCTTCCTTTCATCTGGAAGTTTGTTTTGCTTGTGACAATTCTCTCCTTCATAAAAAGCTTTCCCTTCCCCATCTCTGCTTGTTTCCCCATTGCATTTGATGTATTTCTATGATAAACTATTTGTATATGTATTCAACTCTCCTTTCTCACTTCAGATAAGAAAAAAGTTCATCTGATGCCCATGCTCCCTATCCCTTCCTCTTATGCACCCCAATTATTAGAATTAACAAGTTTTATTCCATTCTTCCTACTTTCCATACTAATATATTCCTCTTTTTACCCTCCCTTCCACCCTGAAGAACTGTTTTTCTTATTTGACTCTCTTAATACCCTTTGAAATACTAAGGTTCTGAAGGGACAATGATTTCTTATTCCCCATTAGAATGTTAGCACTGTACCATCATATAACATCTTCCAATTGGTCAAATAAATGTATATTTCTAGGCTTCTCTAGATTTTTTGTATTTGTATTTCAAACTACTCAGTTCTGATTTTTTTTCATCAGGAATGACTGGAGTTCCTCTATTCCATTAAAGATCCATCTCCCACCTGCAATATTATATTCAGCCTTGGAGGGTAAGTTTTTATTACTTATTAGACTAGCTCTTTTACCTTTTGTACTATAAGATTTCCTCTTATTTATAATAAACTTTGCCAGACCTTATGCAACTGTGTCTCCAGTTCCTTGGTATTTGAATTCCTTCTTTGTGAGTGTGTATAGTATTTTTTTTTATTTGACACAGAAGCTCTAGATTTTGGCTATGATGTTTGTAGGATTTTTCTTTTTGGATTTCCTTTCAGGAGGTGATGAGTAAATGCTTTCCCCATTGACTGTCTGGTTCTGATAACCCTGGGGACTTTTCAATTATAATTTCTTGAAATATAATGTCCAGGCTTTTGTTGTTGCATTATAGTTTTTACAGAGTCCAATGATTCTTAAATGATCTCTTTTTAAAAAATTTCATTTTTATTTTCGGTTTCAAATTCTCTCCTTCCCTCCAGTCCCTCCCACATCCACTGAAAAGGCAATTTGGAGGAGGGCAGGCAAGAAAAATAAAGAAAGGGAAAAAAATGTGCTTCAATACGCATTCTGGTTAGCATTTTGTATCATGAGTTCTTTGGAGTTTTGGTAAATCACTGTATTGATCAGAATTACTAGGTTTTTCTTGATTATCTTTACAATATTGCTATGACTACATACACTGTTGTCCTGGTTCTGCTCACTTCACTTTATATCAGTTCATATAAGTCATCCCATGTTTTTCTGTACCATCCCTTCATCATTTCTTGCAACACAGTAGTATTCCCTCACATTCATACACCATAACATATTCAGCCATTCCCCAATTGATGGACATTTCCTCAGTTTCCTATTCTGCAATCTCAAAAAGAGCTGTTACAAATATTTTTGTACATAGAGTCTTTTCCTTGTATCTCCTTGAGTTATAAAGGCATAGTAGTGGTCCTGCTGGGTCAGAGGGAATGCACAGTTTTATAGCCTTCTGGGCAGAGCTCCAAATTGTTCTCCAAAATGGCTGCTCCACCAACACTGCATTAATATTCCTATTTTCCCATATCCCCTTTGGTATTTGTCATTGTCTTTTTCTGTCACGTTAGCCAATCTGATGGATGTGAGGTGGTATCTCAGAGTTGTTTTAATTTGTATTTCTCTAATTATTAGTAATTTATAGCATTTTATATGACTATTGATAGCTTTGATTTTTTTCTCTGAAAATTGACTATTCATATCCCTTAACCATGTATCGACTGGAGAATGGCTCCCTTCTTTTTTGGGGGGAGGTGAGGCAATTGGGGTTAAGTGACTTGTCCAGGGTCACACAGCTAGTAAGTGTTAAGTGTCTGAGGCTAGATTTGAACTCAAGTCCTCCTGACTCCAGGGCTGGTGTTCTATCCACTGCGCCACTTAGCTGCCCCCAGTTCCCTTTTTAAAATTTGCCTCTGTCTATATATTTGAGATATGAAACCTTTGTCAGAGCAACTTGCTATAATTTTCCCCCCAGTTTCCTGCTTCTGTTCTAATTTTGGCTGTATTGGTTTTATTTATGCAAAACCTTTTTAATTTTATGTAATCAAAATTATTCATTTTACCTCCTGTGAACCTACTGTTTGGTCATAAACTCTTAGTTCTGACAGGTAATTTCTTCCATGCTTCCCCAATTTGCTTATGATATCACTAGATCTAAATCATGTACCTATTTTGAGCACAGCTTGGTATATGGTGTGAGGTGTTGGTCTATGCCTAGTTTCTGTCAGACAACTTTTCAGTTTCCCCAGCAATTTTTGTCAAACAGTGAGTTCTTGTCCCAATAGTTATGATTTTTAGGTTTATGAAACAAGTAGGCTACTGTGCTCATTTGCTTCTGTATATTGTATACCTAATTTATTCTACTGATCAACCCCTCTAATTCTTATCCAGTACCAGATTGTTTTGATGTTTAATACTTTATGATATAGTGTGAAATTTGGTACTATTAGGCCCCTTTTTCATATTTTTAATTGATTCTCTTGATAGTCTTGGACCTATTGTTCCTCCAGATAAATTTTATTATTTCTTCCTAGCTCTACAAAGTAATTTTTTGGAGTTTGATTGATGTGGCACTGAATAAATTATCTCATTTTGACAGGTTTTCCAGATCAGTTCTTTCTGATATCAGAGCTTACATTTCTCCTAGTTTTTTTTTCAATCTTTTGAATTTGTTTTAATATTTCTTGCCATCTTACAGAGTCAGTGATTTTTTTTTCCAGACTTGGTCCACTCTAGTTTTCAGAGATTCTATTTCTTAGGTAAAATTAGCCACTTCCTCTTCTTAGCTATTTATTTTCCCAATTCTTTCCTCAAGAACTTTTATTTCATTTATATCCTGCTTCACTTCTTCTAGGTATTCATGTTGTCCCTGTGGAAAATGTATTTTGTCCTTTGAGTCTCTGCTCATAGTTGTTATGAATTAAATGTGAAGTAATTTTTAGTGTTTTGGTTTTATTTTTGTTTTTATTTTTTAACTCATCTGTCCAGCTTTACTTCCTGAACTGGGGTTTGGAGTCAAGTTTCACCCCCTATTACACTTTTGGGTGGGGTAGTTGGCCCTGCCTGGTTTCTCCCTAGATCCCTTGGATTTTCATGCTGACTTCCATGTTATGGATTTAACCCCATCCCTGGATCTTTGAGATTCGGAGCACTGTATCTTTAAAACCCTCTCTGGTGTCTTAAGACAGCTATCTTGGTAGAAAGTTTTGTTTTTCTCATTTCATACTCATGAACCATGTTTTCTTTTCCTTTTTTTTTTCCCCAGCCAAAGACAAAGTTTATTAGAACATCCATCATATCAGGCAGACTCTTAAGGAGTCTGAACATTAGTAAACTATTGGCTAGATTATAAGAATCTTAGCCTTGGCTAGATTTTAAGAATCTAAGCCCATGTTTTCTAGCATATATTTTGCCATCTTCCTCTTTGCCTTAGTTTGCTTTGCATTCACTTATGATTAAAGCATATATTGATTTAAACTGGAAGGCCTACTGAGTTCTACATAATATTTCTTTTAACTTCTCAACTTACGCACTAGTTTTTGGTGTATAAGCTGTAATTACCATCACGGTGATTTCTTTACTATGATATGAAATGATCAATTTTCTTATGAAATTATGTTATTGTCTTAGGACTTAAAATAAATGACTCTTTTCAGTATCTTTATTTTTTTCTCAAAAGAGAAGCTATTTACCCTTCCATTTAGCCGTAACTTTCTTTTATCTCTTGGTTCTATTAAATCAACGATGTAAAGACTGAGATGGCTCAGTTTCTCCAATGTTATGTCCACTCATTGGTCACTGGTCAACAGCCAAGAGAATGTTTCCAGATTGCATAAAAAACTGATTAATTCCTAGCACCCTCTGCCCCACTCCCTTTTCTCTTTACTACTCTACCACAAATACTGAAGTAAAAAGAAGGGGACCTCACAGACCTCATGTCCATTGTGTATTTTTTCAGTTGGTTGTTATGGACAATTAATTCATTACCAAGTTGCTAGCCTACTGATGATAAGTCACTCAATTTTAGCTAGGTTAGTTGTCCTTTGGCAAGAAGATGTAGTTTACTGCCAGAATCATTCCTAAAGTCTTTAGAGCATGATAGAACCTGCTGGAATTTATGTTAACTCTGGCATAGCCTTCACAAACCCACCAAATTGAGAGCAAGGACTGCCTTTTGCCTTTCTTTGGATTCTCAGTACTTAGCACAGTTCCTGGAACACAGCAGACACTTAATAAATGTTTATCGACTAACTCTATGACATTATGAGACATTATGAGACAACAGGACTTGGCATTTATTTTTACTATATACACATGTATTAACTAATTTCTGAAAAATCACTTAACAAAGTGTCTCATGCTGGACTTGCAAACAAGATGGAAGAAATATGGGCCAAAGGATGGTACAAGTAGGCAGATTATTTAGAACTTGCTGAATGACCTAAAGAGTAGTCATTAAATGGCTCAGTGTTTACTTGTGAAAAATGTCTTTAGTGGAGGGCCCTAGGAATCTGTCCTTGACCCTGAATTGTTTAACATTTTTTATCAATGACTAGAATAAAGATTAAATGGCATGCTTGTAAAATTTGCACATAATACAAAGCTGAAAGGTATAGATACCATGTTAGATGAAAGAATCAGGATATTAAAAAATCCTGGCAAGTCATAACTGAATCTAAGATGATAAAATTCATTACAGATAAATCTAAAGTCTTATACATGGCTAAAAAATTAATTTCATAATTTCACAATACTCTGAGGGAGACATGGATAGAAAGCAGTTTATTTGAAAAAAGATCTAGGGGTTTAGTACATTACACACTTAGATATATACCAGTGTAATAAAACGGCCTCCAAAAGCTGAAGTGATCCTAACCTTCATTAAAGGAAGAGGAGTGTTACAGAAGGATGGTCCTGATCTATTTTGCTCTAGTCTGACCAACATCTGGAATATTCTGTTTACTTTTGGGTACCATATTTTAGAAAGGCCATGGGTAATTTAGAAAGTGTCTATAGGAGGTTAGTCAGGATGTTTGAGGACAGTGGTTATCAAAATTTTTTGTTACTCATAGTATAGTAGGTGTTGCCATGAGGAACCATGGTTCCTCAGACTGATTGTTTAAGTTGGCAACAAAGAAGAGTTACAAGGCAGTTTGGATTCCAGAAAGCAGGACCTCAGGACTCCATCACCTCACCTTTTGTCCCCACCCAACCCCCTTACTTTCTAGAGCTCCTACAACAAAGAAGGCAAACTTCCTTTCTAAGCCAAACCAGGAAGAGCAGGCAACAAACTGCACCTAGGGAGAGGGGCTGGGAAATATATCTTAGGGATTGGAAGTTTTGCTGCACATTGGGTGGAGATGAAGGAAAAAGAAGTTGAGGAGTAGGGGTTTTCATGGCACACCTAGTGAAACACATCCAATTATGCTAAAAAAAAAGGACTGGCTGAAGGTGCAAAGGATGCTTAATCTGGAGAAGAGAAGATGTAGTAGCAGTGATTATTGCCTTTGGTTATTT